TGAGACCTAGTGTAGTTCATCAATTCCAAATATTGGGCACAGGTGACCTGTTGCCACATTTGAATCACGGTCCCCACGGTTGAGACTCGTCACTATTATTATTCATCATGGAGATGTGTAGCGAAGAAAAAGGGCATGGTAACAACCTAACAACTCCAATGAAACCGCTTGTGTCATAGTGTATTGGTGAATTCATGTCACGCTCACATGCGTTATTAGGCATTGTTTCATTGTCGCAAGGGCAAATCACACTAACCTGCATTGTTGACAATACGAATAATCGTGTGGCATGTAAGGCGAATGGGAACGCACGCCACGCCCAGCCCCGACTGTCCATGTAGCGTGCGAGAGAGAACAGTTGCACGGGACCCAGCCCTCCGGACTCGGCGGAATGCAACACAAGACGATAGACAGCATCGAAGGCCGATGCGTTGCGTTCGGCCAAAGTTAGTGCAGGCAAAGCACAGTTGACGGGATCTTTTGCTGCGGCCTATCGTAATTTGAAGGGACGAAAAGATGAGAATGAGAAATGTCAGAATGGTCAAACTGATGAGTACGGACAAGTCCCGAAGCATAATAATTATGTGGCTGCCTAACCGCCAAGGAACACAGTTATTTTTTGATTACACATATCTCACCATTTGTGATGAACAGTAGACGGAATAAAGCCCATAGTTACGAAGACCTGCAGTTCAGTGATGGTAACCGGTAACCTAAGCCCGGGACTTGGAGTGGCGAACCATATGAGGCCCCGTTAGGCCAGGTATGGTACTGAACCGGACGACAGAATGCCGGTGACAGCGACTAAACCAATGTGTGTGTAAAAGCCCCTTTGGAAATTTAAGCCCCATAAATGAAATGCACGATTTCAGATTATTGTACCTACGATTGAATACCACGGACCAAGTAATAGGCGAGAATTCACGAAGTGAAAGTTTCTGGGGATGAAGACGAAACAAATTACTGGCACTGGATTCGTACATTGTGCATGTGATAGATGATTATCAGTCAGACAGGCTCACCTGAAGTGCCATGTGACGAACAGCCGCCAAGATATGTTCCCGAGCCGTAGCTGAATAGGGCACTGCACTACCTAGCATTTGAGCAGCAATAGTGATTGAGTTCGCATGGTGACGCGAAGCGAAAGATGTTGTCTGCATGCCATACCAAGAATTGTTTTGCCATGCCGAAGAGCCAGTAGATCCGACTGCTGCTGCTGCTGCTGCCGCCGTTGCTGCTGCTGAAGATGGCGGGCCATCATCGGGCATATTTTGCACTTGACCGTGATGATGATGATGCTCCACGCTGGTTGGTCCATCGGTTGAATTTAGATCAAACAGAAGGACGGTCGCGGCGGCTGACGAGGACATTTCCGTTTCAGAGCATAGAGCCGAATCAGTGGGATGTGTTGAACTCAGGACCCCGTTCAATCTAACTGATTTGCCTGTATTCGGGTTGATATTCTTCGCGTTTGAGGGAGCGTGACCGACGAGACCGGGTAAAGTGGACTCTGATTTGCCAATCACAGCAATCAACGCAGGTGCTAACCAATTCACCGCTTCTCGAGGACTGACATACATGGCCCAATTGGTGACCAAATAAAGACATGCAGATGGTCCAACGTGTAGCGCAGTGGATACGGCCCAAGCAAGCATCTCTCGGCGGCGCCAATGTACAGTGCGTGTCAAGGTGCGCAATACAACCAGTAAGGCCAGGTGAAAGGCTGTACAAATTAGATTGATTCGATCCGGTGAGTAGGCGCCGGCAGTAATGGAGCTGGTCGACGGTGCGGTTGATCCTAGTCGGCATACCCCGGGAGTGAAACCGGTGAACAGACTAGGGTTGAACAAGGGCATCGAGTCATATTTGCGTACACCACTAAGCATCGATTCTAAGCCTACGGCCTCTGCGAAAATCTAAAGTCAGATCAAAGTAAAAAGCATGTACCAAACAAGAATTAATTGGAAAAACTGGAAATAAGGTAATTAGGGCATGTCAACATGAATGTCACCAAAATGGGTGTAAATTTTTCTTACACATTCTAGTGTAATGAAAATATAAACAGGGTACTATATGGTCACCATGGTCTGCTATTCACTCGTGATAATTGGCAAATTACGCCCTGGGACTTGGAATGTCAAACCACATAAGTCCGAATCAGGACTGGCATGCTATTGAGCCAGATGAAAGCAAACATACATATCACACAGTGTGGTTGGCAGTCGACTGGTTTAAGTCTCGTATCGTAGAACCTAAAGTATGCCAGAGAGCGATCTAAACCGTTTTACCGCACCAAACACAAAGGCGAATAAGCAAGGAAGCAATCATCAAACAGATAGTGAAGGTAACTTGAATAGATTAGCCCGAATAAGAAGGGTGATTAATTCGAATTTAGGGAAATAGCAAGACCAAAGTGGTACTTCCCATTTTGTTCCATGGAAACACAATGAACTCCGCATTCGACTGTACCGAATTCAGTCAATTAGTCATACTCAGCACACCAATTAGCCGATACTGCTCTCTTAAGCCACTTTCGAAGGATACTTCAAATATGGATAAGAGTCGAAAAGGAGTATGTGAATGAAGCTGAGAAAGAGTAAAGCACAACGTGAATCACTTAGAAGCCTAAACCGTTTACGTTTAGCGTGAGGTGTGTGAAAAAATTAACCAGAAACGAGCAAAGATAATGAGTATCCCCGAACAACACCTTGTGATATTCTTCTAGACACCGACCGCTACAAGCTCTCACTAGTTACGATGTTGATTAATCCAATCAGTCGTCCGAACAGTCCTGGCTACATGAGAAGCTCAAAAGATTCACCTGACAAGGAACCACCGTGTGTGACTGCATAAGGACAAACAAGTGCAGGATAGACGAACGGTCGAAAGCGACATAGTAGGACAAGGAGAGAGAGGAATATGTATACGAGCAACACACACACACACGAAGTGCTCCTGAGACCAGCAACCGGTATTGAAATTGGACCCGCAGAATTAACAAAACAATTCAACACCGGAAACATCGAAAGGAACAAATGCATCCGATGGTTGCGGTCAATCGGTTTTACATATGCAAATAGCCCAGGTATACAAATTCTCCAAAAATAAAAGACAAAAATGAGTAAATCTACATACGAAAAACGATCTGGAAGAAAATGAGACTAAGAGCTTTCCATTAAAGATCAGACACGAGGAAAAATCGAAAGAGTACGTAACCCGAAGACATTACGATGGCTTCGTAATTAAGTCAGAAGGCGCATTGTGTGCGCCCGATTTTTTTCCAATCATCCATTTTTAGGATAGTTTATTCTCTGAATCACCCGCAGGTTATACTTGGTAATTATCCAATTATCTACAGAATCCACTCCATAGTGTTTCTTTATTATTGTCAACATTGAATTTGTAACAGTTGCCTAAAATGATGACAAAGCAAATCAGTGAGATACATGTCGGAATAGTGTTCTTTAGTCATGTAAGAACAGTTACTATCAATTACCAACATATATGAATGAAACTCACTTGCTGAGAAATAGCCAGCAAACTGACTGCTGAATGGATGTGTCGATCGAATATTTGCACGATTTGATCCAATCGGAGCAAGGAAGACTTTGATAAACGCACAAGAGCAACAGCTAAATGAGTTTGCTGTAGCTCCATTCCTTCCAAACAGCGACGTACCGGAGTGTTTGAATGAGCAAAGATAGTGCCTATCTGTAGGAGTGGTGGTGGTGGTGGTAATTGTTGTGGTTGCGACACTGATGGGATAGATGGTGTTGGTTGATGCGGAGACGATAACGAGTTCGGCTCAGGTATACAAGTGATTGGAGAGGGAAGGGTACGAGAAGCTAAGTAGGCCGGGGTAGACATCACTGGAGGGATAGGCATACACGAGGCAGACTGAGTATATGGAATATCTAGTAGCTTTATACAGGCTTGTACTGCGCTAGCAAATGCTGATGGAAACGGTGGATATGGAATCGTAGAAGTTGCAGATGACAGGGGCCATCGATCCGGTTCCATGGGGCGGAGATGAGACGAAGGAGTAGGGAGATGGTGCAAACCTGCAGAAGATAGTGGTGTGGTTGAAACGCCATGAGACTCTGGAGTCTCCGCGCGAGTGGAAGACAACGTGGTAGGATCTACAGCGCTCAGCTCGCTTATTTCTGTGTTCACAGCCAACGCAGATTCTACATCAGCAGATCCTAGTCCCGTCGTCCAGTATCGAGTGGGAAAAGGGGAACGTTCAGTTGGACGAGAGGTAAATAGTGGAGACGCACCAGGTGGAGAAGGATAGTGATGGTACGGAAGATGCACAGCGTGATAAGGTGATGGAGGAGGAACGTGATTATGATGTGAGTGTGGATTAGGAGGACGTGCATTGACCGGGATGAGACCCATACTGTCGGACACTGGTTCGAGAACGGAGAATCTGAAGCGAAATCGGAAGCAGTGTCCATGATACTATATTGATGCACTGCAATTTGCAAACTGTCAAAACAAGCCACGATTCCTAGGTCACAGAAAAAACGTAAACAATTGATACGATAAACTCAGATTCGGGGCAGTTACTTCAGCTACTCATGCTTTGGTTCACTGTTTAAGAACCAATATGATGAGGGTTTACCGTTTGCTTACCTATTCAAAAAATCCAAGTTCTTAGAGCAGCGAATGGTAAATCAAACGGACGAAGTAAGATAAGTGTAGTCATAGTTCTAACAAATAAGATCAAAAGCTCTTACATGTTAACAACCAGTAGAACTAGGCACTACCGAATACAGGTTCCAGGTTGCAGGACGCGGCGATTTCTCGCTCATCTATTTGCTACGAGAAGTCAGAAATCTCACTTTGTACTACGTTCACACGTTTCTCCATATATTTACCACCCAGAAAACCGAATTACCTCCAGGTAGGAATTAACCTTTAAAATTAAAATGAAGGAAATAAAAGCATCATTCAACTACCACGGTTGTTGCTTTGAAAAATGTAACAAATACCAGATTATTCAAGACTTACCGTATGGCACGTGTTACCACAGCGAACAATAGATCATCCACGCGAATCGCGGACGGGGCGGACATGGTCGGACCAGTACAAGCAGACGAAGGTGAGGACAATCCAAGATTAGGGCACGCACCGGATAGTGCGGGAGAACTCGACGCAGTCCAAAAGTTGTTTATGAAAGACAACGGAGTCTGCGTTCGCGCTTCAAGGACATAGTCCAATACGAAGTGAGCAATCCCATGGACAGGATATGAATCCGGATGGGTGATAGGACCCAAGGAAGACCACCACCACCACCACCATGCTGGTGAGGGTAGTAAATGCCCACCAACAGACAGACTGAGTGTATGGTTAGGTTCGGCCCGGGGTATCAAGCGTGATAATGCCGGAGGGCCAAGTAAATGAGCCATTGTTTCACACACCGCCATCAAGGTGACAGCATCCTTTGGCATTGTACTAAGCCAAGCAAGTAACCGAGCCTCTTGAGTTTGAGAAGCCAAAAGACGATTGATGGATCCAGATAGACGGCGTTGTTGGAATAGGGCAACCAGACTTACCTAACAAATATAATCGAATAAATTTCATATAAGCTCTATTCTGCTTATTTCACAAAACACAGTGTTGTTCAGTTCATCACAGATTCAACTGCACTACCAACATCATCACGTAGTGAGATATATTGTCGACAACCCTATTGGTCTATGCTTGTCGCGATATGCAAAAAGCAATAAAGAAAAAGCGAGTTTCAACTTACTAAACACTACTACGAAAGCATCACATCTATCACGCTTCGCGGTTGACGAGTCCCACAAGAAACAGTTAAGTTGTCTGCGTACAGCAGCCAAAACAACGTAGGGTACACACGCAGTCTAAAAACCGAAACCTTAAGAGAGAAAACATTTATCACACACACACACACGCACACACACACACGCACACACATCCACATATCACGCCCCGCCAGACGGAGCCGAAAGGGAAGACATCGTTATTGCCATCGAACGAGTGCCCAGAGGGGCGACGATGACTAAGCAAACTGGGAGCACCTGCTGCCACTGTTACTGTCATAGCGTCCTCGTTTGTGGTGCATTACGAGTCTACCTGTATACCCAAAACAAAGCGAATATGGTCATCGTTGAATTCCGCACATCAAATAAGAGGGGAATGAGCTTACCAGCAAGCATGCATATATCGAGGACCGATGGTGGGCATGTCAAAAACATCTGGTCACGATGACACGTGTAGTGCAAGCATAGTGACGCATCTATCGCGCCAGAGATCAATTGACCGGGAACAAACCAGGAATCCAGCATGCGTTCAGAACGAATGGAAGTGGATGATGCGTCCATTACTAACGGACGTTTAATTAAACTAAGTCTGATGTAGGATAATGTTTGAGGGGGCCGTAACATGCACAAACTGCCACCAGACAAAGGAAATAATGCACACTAGCAATTGGCATGGGAGCGATGCAAGTTTGAATTTCAAATACGTCGACTAGCGTGCAATAAAAGGTACAACCTACAACTTGTTGTGAAGCTAAGTAAAAGTGGAATATTACTTATGCCGAAGGATAATTAATGGAGACCATATGGTTGCCATTAACGAAAAATCGACACCCTTTATAGACAGTGGCGGAAAACCCGGATCGGTCAGCTCCCTCTCATTGTAGATAGATTCTGATCAAAATCCGAAACTCAAAACGGTTGATGGAAAGCTTAATTATTACTGTTCAGAATGAAGAAAAACCCTCTTTTGAGAGAAAATGGAACAAATATGAAGCTACTGACGATCCATGCGCTCGTAGAAAAATGATTACCCGTCGTACTGTGGCCAAATTTAAACGAGACCGAAGTTTAAGAACTTCCCTTAAACCGAAACAAGTGGTACACAGACCCGAATTGAGACTGAGTCAAGAGTAGTCAATTCATTTTAAGCAGGAAGATAGCTACAAAACTGGACCATTTGTAACGAGTATGTCTGTCGAAGTTGTGTCCGCAAGATTCATTTTGTGAGCGCACACATCAACAACTGTTAATATGTCATTTCCTAGTCGTATTTACAATGCCTTTTTACTTGTTTACACCCTACTTTTAGCATTTTTCTCTCGAATCGTTTAGTGGAGCGTTAGACTGCATTTTTGAAGGACGGAACCTAAAATTACAGATTTCAAGCATCGGTCCGGTGAATATACAGACTAAACGTTACTTCAAGCCACTAGAGACCGAACTGGGTATTCCATCACGACAAATCTTCACACTGGCATGATAGGATGACTTGTATACCTCCG